TGCACGAATGTGGGCATAGGGCGGGAGGACGGTCTTATAGTCTATTGATATAGCAAATGCAACAATGGCCAATTTGTAGCAAGTTTCTTGAGGCGCATAAATTACGCTTGGCCTCTAATTGGAACAGCGCCTAGTGCATAGAAATGACGATGGCGACACTTCAAATCAAAATTCATAGCAAGAAGTAGGTCCATGAAGGCAGGAAGTAAAGCAGGCGGTCGGTCGGTCGGGCGAGCAGGCTGTCTGGGATGCTAACAAAACAGAGCAGAAGGACAGACCTCAGCAGCGCTCAGGCAGTTTGCCATAAAAGCGAAAGGCAACAAGGCGTAACATGCGATAAAATTGAGTTGAAAACGTGTTTCAAATCTAAAATTAACAAACTGTAGTGCAGGCAGTCAACCATTCAGTCAGTCTGTCAATCGCCATGTCGCTGCGCCATGGCCCCAGCCTGCATGTAAATGACTTTTTAATGATGTATCCAGTCAAGGGTATTTTGCGACCGGGTGTTGCCGTGGCAAGATACCGGCGTCCAAGTGTCATAGTTTGCCAGCCTAATTGCTAACATAGCTTTACACTTTAATAGTTTTTTACGTGTCTGCGCTGAACTGACCTGTTCCAATGTTTCGACTCCCCAATATTGGTTTCACATGTAAATGAAGCTCTGATTAGCGCAAGTCGTGAATTTCAATTTGTGCCTAATTAATTGTTGTTTTAAATTCTTTGCGTGCTGCTGCGAACATGTTTAACATGCTCCGAAACCCAACAATCTACCTTCTGTGTGTGTTTTTTTGTCTCCCTAATTGGCATTACCATTGCGGGCGGATATCATTTCGAGTGCCTAATTGTGTTCACTTACATCTAATTACAGCCCGGGCTAATGCTAAAACCTTTCATTAGAGACGAACAAGTAGTATTTAAGCTTAGTTGTTCGTTTTCATTGTTAGCCATTTGATACATTTACATATTCATTCGAGACATTTAGTCAAGGTGTCCTCTGGTAGTTAAGACACTTACAAATGTTTTATATCAACACAATATCTGACCTATAAAGAAAAGTTTATGCTGACTTATGATGATTGACTCAGTGACCAACTGATTGATCTTATGTCTTATGTCTGTGATTGACTGTCTGATTACTGCATGGAACTGTTTAACTGAATGACTCACTGAGTAAATTGCACTCTGGTTGACTGACTGTCTAACTGCCTGGGTTAGTGAAAGATTGATTGACTTATTGACTAGCTGAATGATTGACTAGCTCTCTGACTGACAGAGTAGCGCTTTGACTAGATGAGTGTCCAACTGACTGACTGACTGATTAACTAAATGACTGATTGACTGGATGAGTGACTGACTGACTGGATGTCTAGCTGCTTGGATGACTGATTGACTCATTGACGTATTGACTAACTGTCTGAATGACTGAGTGGAAAGCTATCTGACCTGCTGTCTGTATGCGTCTCTAACTGTCTGTCTGACTGATGGACTGAACGACTGACTGTCTAACTGACAAGACAAGTGATAGCATATTTCACTTACTAATTAACTGACTGAATGATTGACTAACCCAATAGTTGTCTGTTAAGCTGACTAGCTGAATGCTTAACTAGTTACGTGACTGACTGAGTGATTGATGAACCGAATGACTGACTGACAAAGTGACAGAACAGCTCATTGATTGACTAACTATCTGGATGAGTGACTGACTGCAATAAATTGACCAACTGACTGAGCGACCAACAGACTAACTGGCTGGCTGACTAGCTCGCTGACTAACTGAATGAATGTATAACTGACTGACTGATGTATAAATCACTAACCAACTGACTGATTGGTAGTACTTACTCAAAAGGCCTTCGTCTAAAGCAACTCTAGTCTGAATCTCCCTTGTTCAACTTCCGAATTAACAAAGATGCTAAGACAACTTCTTCACCAAAAACTGCTTCATTTGATTTAAATACACGCTAAGTATAGCTCTCCACATAACTAAATAACCCTAATATGCCATTCATTTAGACCATACTAGCCAATGAATAAGAATCTATTAAAATTGAAGTATCAACACTGGCTCTACCTCAGTAAACAATATTCTATATCTACATTATCAGAATGATGCGATCAATCTACGTCCCAGTTGAGCTATCCGCTCAGATTGCTTAGATATCATCTTCGACAGGCACTCGGCGCCTAATGGTATGCTATAAAATTATGCACTGAAGCATTTCGGTCGCGCAGTACAAACAATAATTTCGATTTCTATCGATGAAATGCCATAATACGTCTAAAATCGAACTGCAGTCGGCATACCGAACCGCCTACGTCCTGTGCCCCTCGTCCACTAATGGATTTTTATGTTGGATAGAGAGAAATTCGTGTGCTGTCGATAAAGACAAATCGTGTAGCAGCCGCCGTTCTGGGGCTTGCTTGTAAATTATAAAATAATGTTGGTTGCAATGCCAACGCGGTCTGGCTTTTGTTTTTTTTTTGCTTCTGTTTTCGCTTGCTGTGACCGAAAAAGGGGCGTGGCCAGTGGGCCACGCTGGTATATGGTATATGGTATATGGCAATTGACTGCAGTTTTTATGCCCGCCCGGCTAAGTGGCACATTTTGGGCTTAGCTTTCAGACGGCTACATCGAAATACTCCGAGCCTGCGGTCGACTCACTCAGCTCGCCAAGGCAACACTCCGGCTGTCGTATGTCTGGCCGTCTACAATTTTTAGCGTAGCGTACCATATACCCCCGCCCCCTGCCAGGTCGGGCACTGCACTCGACTGTTGCCGCTGTCAAATAACTGACATTACCTCGCCGACAACGCCGCCGCGTCGCTAGCATTTCGTGACTTTGTACAATAAAAATTTTCGATTAGAATGTAAAAGCGGCAGTGGAAAGCCGCAGAACTGAGCTGCAACGGCAATCACAAGTCGGAGCGGGTGTGCTACACCAAAAATTCTACCGAGTCGGACGGACGTATAATAGCAAAAAATAGCTAAATTGTATATTAATAGAAAATGAAAACAAGAATGATTCCATTTTCCTTTTGTAATGGCCAGAACAACTTTGCTGCGGTCAGAATGATTTTTACTTCCTACTGCATCTGCTTGTAATATTATATAAAATCTAGTTGGCTTTTATTGCTTATATTAATATATTGATGACCCAACTATTGCACTTATACCAATACTAAGCTGCATTGCAACTAGATATCTGATAAGATTAGTTCGAAGCCTTATCCGCATCTGAATTGTTGAATCCAATAGTGCGTGCAATGCAGTCTAACTGCAAGTCGGAAAAGTTTATAATTCGTGGACTCTCTCTTCACTGTGGACGACAGAGAGTCCAGTGACTCTAATTGCGACCTACTCCAATGACACACAAAGAGCAGCTGCATACTCCAGGCCACGGCTGCCTCCAGCAATGCTGAGACACATTCCAGGAATGGACTGAGATTTGGAGTGTGCCTACCAATAATGGCAAATGTGCAAATGTGACTCTCATTAATAAGCCTAGTAACCATCTTGGTGTCACTCTTAACTAAAGGATGCTAAGGTTATCACCGACATACAAGTAGCTTGGTGTTATCCTGAAGAGCAGCTTCACCTTCAACAGACATGTCACGTCGCTGCACTCATTAGGTCAATTTACAAAAATTGTTAGGTTGCTTGCACTACGAAACTAGCTCTATCTGTCTCTTGACAAAAAGGCCCTGGCTACAGCTATGCCCTCCAGGTGTGTACTTAAGTAAGCTCAGGCTCAAGTGAAAACTCTGATAAAGATAGACATATACATGGTACATGAAATCCAAGACGTCAAAGTTCCAAAAATTGTTGACAGAATTCAAGAGATGGCAAAAGAAACTAGACTTGACTAGACTAGACTCTCCGCGAAACAGCCTGGCTGGGCGTCTAGATAAGACAGCAAAAACAACTGGGCGTAGACTCACATGCTAAAACGCTCAATAACTACTGGTCATGTTCATAACAAAAAATCTATCAAAAATCTCATTTAAGCTTACCTACTTCTTCCGCTTACCCTAAGCTGAACTATTATTTTAATTTATTGTATTTATCATGGCTAAAAAAATATTAGTATTGCAAGGAATATTATAATATTCCTTAGGGCTTAGATATGATTTTTTGCTGCTTATGTCAACTTGATATTAAATTGGCGCTGACACTATGTCAGACAACAATAGTTCTATATACGAATCAGGTTATCTTTACTCATTACTTATTTACTGAAAAATATAAAACACAAAGCCACGCCCATCTAACAACAAATAAATTTATTTTTTATTAACATTCGAAATAGACAAAATCATGGGATGTTTTCCAAACAATATGGCCCCAAAAGGGCACAGAGAAGCTCTACAATAACTTCAAAATTTAATTTATTTTCTAGCTCAGATACTTTAGAAGATATAGACTTTAGACTACGTCCTCTAAGGACGTAGACATATAATCAATATATTTTTTGATTCGGGCTGTACTCACGAGTAAATATTTCAAATATCAATTAACTAGTAGCAAGAGTGTTCAATATATATCAGAATTTGAACAATTCACTATAGTCAGATACGATTTGCCACTATACAAGTGGGCCTAAGCATATAATTATCCATCTGTAGAGTATCTTAACTGTAACTTACATTCCAAATTTGGAGTGGTATTAGCTCTAAAACTGTTGACGATAGAGCTGTGCACGATTTGACACGCCCTAAAAGACATAGATATGTAAAGGATATCTTTTTGATCTCGGGTTGTCAACGCGGGAAAATGTTGCAAGCTTCGAGTCTTTAGCGCTTTAACAGACACGAATAGTGCACAATATAATATATATATATATATATACGTTTTCACCTCGTAAATGAGTATAAAACTAAATAAAATATTTCTATTAATTATACATTTTTATAAATATAAAATTGTAATATAGGTCAACGATTACATTGCTACAGCTGTCAAATGTGTAGATTCGAGTTAGTTTGTTTTTTTACTCTCATTCCGATTATTGTTGTGTACACAAACATACAGTTTTATTTGCTTTAAAGTTTCTGTCGTTTTACTTTCGAGTTTGAATAGCGTGCAGAATCGTCAAAGACAGACGACGTTGGGCTCAATTTGGATTGAGAATTACTTAAGAGCTCGCATCATTTGGAAACCTTATCAAATGGCATTCGTTGGTCGCATGAACAGTCGAGGCAACTTGGTTGATAATGAAGTGTTCAATAACGTACGCTCCAACATTAACACGATTCCCACCCAGGTCATGGATAGCGACACCCAGACGGACACAAGGCACACAAAATGCTCGCGTACCTACATCAAGTCGTATGACTCGGAGCCGCGTGGCTTGGTCTCCAGACCGAGCCTGAGCACGGCGCGGTATGTGGGCCACTCCGCTTCGTCCTACGAGCTCAACTCGGCGGACGACACGGAGATGTCCACACTGCGCTACAGCTCCCCCAGATCCTTCGAAACGGAGACTGTAACGCTGACGCCAAAGAGCAGAATTGGTGATAGCTCCCTGTCTGGAGATAGCGGAGGCGATGCTGGAACAGATGAACAGGCGTTTCTAATGCAAGACAATGCAGAGAACCAGCCGCAGGAAAGAGGCTCCACAACGTCCATGTGCAGCTGGGAGGAGGAGGAGATAGTTTCCTCCTATGTGTCCGGGGATCAGCTCACTTACAGCTGTTCTATACCCTTGCTCGATCTGAGCTCGAACACTGGCTCACTGCAGTACGACCCGCAAATGCAATTGGACCAATTGAAGATTGTGCGTCGGTCGGACGAGGCCTACAATAATTGGCTCTCTGGCAAGAAGCGGCTGGGCCTTTACAAGCGACAGGCAATGCAGGAAGAGCGCGAGCTCAAAAGGCAACAGGACGAACTGCGTAAACAGCTAAACGAGAAGCGTGTCCAGGAATGGTGCCAGCGCAAGGCAAGCCAGTATGCCAACAAGCGTAAGTCGAATCCAGCCACAAGCCAGGTCCAGGTAGCACAGGTGGCGCATGTGGCGCAGGTGGCGCAACGGCGCCTACAAAACTGGGAGCTGCAGAAAGTTGAGCAGGCGGAGCGGCAGCGCCAGCGGCAGCAACGCGAGGCGCTGCGTAAGCAACGGGAACTGCAACAGCGCAAGCAACAGGCTGCCGCAGCGTGGCAGCAATGGATCAAGGGCGCGGCGCACCGCCCCAAGCCAGTGCCACTCAATCAGGGCCTGAACACACTACGCGGCACTGTCTCCAACATCTATGTTAATCCCAACTCTTGGGTACACGTTAACGAAAAAAACTAGCAACCAAATAAACAGTACGCAATTATTTAAACATATTACAAATCGGTCTACATATTTGGGAACCAATTATGTAACACTTTCTCGAGATTCGAAAGGCGACAGACATAGACAGTTTATATAAGCTTATATGTGTAGCCTGATGCATGTATGTATGACAAAGGAATTGGGTAAACGTTCGCGAAAACAATTTGCAAGAAGTAATTTTACTTTAGTTGGACTGTCCCAAGGCAGTTAATTATATTATTGGATTTGTTACTTTTCATTGGATGAAAAAGTTGATTCACCTGAAAGATTTTTAATTTCAAACTTAGCTGTTTTGCTATCTGTCACAGCCTCGTAGCTCCCTCAACTGAATTGTTACACTTTAGAGCTTAAGCTTCAAAACTAAGAGATGCAGTTATTTCTGGACTTGGCATGCCCCATGGAAGGTAAGCCTAATAAAAGTTAGTTTGTTTTCGATTTCTTAAGCGCTATATATACAATATTCTGAACTTTAAGTCCACGTACAAATAGCACTACAAATAAAACAATATTTCTGCAAGGCACTAGCTTAGTTTGAATGCTTATGAATTAGCAGATGAGCAGATAGAGATGGGCTAAATGACTTAGCTCGTTGATCAAAAATATTCATACTGTATGAAGTCTGTCATGGCTCTTTCTGTCTGTTGCATATATTGTCATATGACTATCCTGATTTATCCTTTACAATGGATTCGGCTTACACAATTTGTTAAGTCATATTTAATGATAAGTGAATTCACTTTTAATTATATAATTATATCGATATCGTGCTTTATGTTTTTGCTGAAATAAAATCAAAAATTAAAAATATGCTTTCTTATGAGCCCTTAACTTTATGACCTTTGTTTTATTATGACTTTTGTATTAAGCGATACAAATTGCCCCAGTTATGAGCGCGACTCCAACCTATATTGTGACCTGAAAAAGTGGAGGAGCAGATTGGAATTTTCACTAGTGACTGACATATCACTCGCCGCCAGCGCTTTGAAGCGGTAGAAAACAATAAAACGATTGGTCGACTATGAAGTCTCCCTATGTGAGAAGCTTTTTAAATTCCTTCGCATCAATATGAGATGTGGTTTTTGCGGCATCATTATATTTGTGCTATTAAGATTGCATTATATTATTTAATAAAGTTGAATGCTTCAGTATCACAATGATTGCATTGAGTCTACTCTTGTTGGCTTTACCCTCTTCAATTAAATAATTTTAAATTATAAAGTGCTACCTCAATAAAAATAAAAAAATACTATTTCTCTTTAAGCTGTATACCTAGGCTTAAGTCAACTCCGCACACCACATTAACACTTCTCATCAAAACAAACGCAGGTATTTGTGTTTGCCTACCCTTTTCACACATTAACACCCTCGACTGGCAGAATGGCCCTCGGGGCGTTTGCTTTGAATGTCTGTTTGTCAGCCTTTAGACTTAGTGCAGCCAGCTTTGGGGCGCATTCACACGTTGAGAGATTGGAGGAACTGCACGCTGCAAATCGTACAACTAATAGTATTTAATGTATCCAATTGGATATTAGACTTTAAATTTCTTTGAATATGTAAAATTCGATTGATTTAATATAGTTAATATGTTCCATAGTTTTTTTGGCTACACCTTCTGAAGTAATTCCTTAAAGTACACGAATTTCTACTGCCTAATTTCAGTTGCTTCTGACTGATTTAATGTCTAGGCTTGATGTAAGTTTTGGTTTAGTTCTCTACTGCTGAATCCAGCTGTGCAGCCGGGAACCCTGTGAACTTGCTCACCTGTCGACTCAAAGAAAACCTAGAAAAAAACAAAAAAGAAACTAGAGACCGGTAATAGGTGGCTCATCGCAAGAGCACAGGAAATATATACAAAGTTATTTAATATGAAAATGGCGTGCAGCTGAAATTTTATTTGAGCTTTGGCTCTGCCTGGCTTGGCCCGGTTGGTCTTAAGCGATTTATTTTCGACTACATTATTCGCTTAAAGGCACATGGAAATTAAATGTGATTTCGTACAGAATTTGACGGACGGTGCTTATAGATGGGCGGTTTTAATATGGAGAAAATCAGACCAGTTTCTGTGCAGCTGCCCAAGACTTTTTTGAGCATACAAATATTTGAGTAACTTTAATTTTGATTAGTAAATTTAATTAATCAAAGCAAGAATATTTGCAATATATATATGAAACATAATGGGAAATTCTTCCTTTATCTTTGCATTGTATAGCCACTCGATGTCAATTTAAATAATAATCAAATTAAAGCATCTACGCGCATTTTAACTGCGGTTTTTCTTTTCATATTTTGTTGTTTCTGCTCTCGAGCACTTTTTAATAATTTAATCCACTGCAATTGAGCGGCACGGCGTGCTTGGGCCGATTTATTGAAAATAAAAACAATATACACAAAAAAAAAACAACACAAGCACACACACATACACACAAAATAAACAAGCACGGCCTAAGAGTGTGGAAAAAAATAAGAGAAGCAAATATTTTTGCACAAACATTGATTGGCAATTGGCAGACGCGAAAACCTCACATATATATATATATATGTATGTGTATGTAAATTCTCATACAGACATAAGGAGCCTCACACACACAATCGCACGGACGACACTTGTGTTGAATAACCGACGCACGCTTCGAGTGCGAGTACAAAACTGAAAATTCATTGAAAACTGATAGCGTGTGAAAAATAAACGAAATGCGCAATCTGAAAACAAAATATGACGTATATATGATTGAGCTGTGCTGTTTATAGAGATGCGCTACACAGAAGTGAAATCAAACTACGAAAGGGTTTATTCTTAATTAGGTATTAGTTATATATAAGATATGACTTTTAAGATTTTCTGTATAAATTTATTATATTTATTATTTATTATTTATTATATATATCCTTATATATATTTATATTTATATTGAATATTGACTACTTATATCTATAATATATGAAAATTGTAATAAGTAAAATTAGTTTTAACACAAAAAAATTTAATTTTTGAAGTAAATAATGCCCTTATTATTATTTAAATTATATATAATTTAATATGTTTCAACAGGTTTCTATTCATAATATAGACTGCACTGTATTTTAGAATTTGCATATTTCATTTGATTGCATTTCTATATATGACTTGATCTTCTTTCAATAAACCTAATTTATTTTTAATTTGTAGATCATTCCAAATCTTTCATAGCCTAAGCATAAAATATTTTAAAAACCTGAATAATAATATTAATTTATTTCATTTACTATACCTATTTATGCTTCAAATGAATTTAATCTTTTTTTCACACAGCATTATTAATATTATTACTTATTTTAAATTAATTAACATAATTAAAGCATATAAATTGTCCTTTACTACATTTTTGTAGCTCATTTAAGTTCATGCTACCCTACAAACACACATATATATATATATATATATATATAGATCAACTCAATTGCATTGATTTATATGGCAGCTCTTCTCGTATACTATATATCAAATCTATGCAAAGCCCTTTTGAAAAAGTCAGTGGCATGCAATTTCTAGTGGCAATTAGCAGTGACATAAATGAAAACAAAAACCAATTCTATTTGTTAACATGCTGCGGTGGCTGATTCGAGCATTAATTAAAATAAATTGGCAAACACTCGAGGTAAGCTAAAGTCTCTGTTAAGTGAGCCAGACACGAATATGAACACCGAATGCCTTTCAGTAACTATTCAAATAAAATACAAATTGTTAGCTAGAGACCTATAAAATTGCTTTGTAATAACTTCTCCAAATCGTCTCGAACTGAACGAAATGTAAGTTGTAAATATGTAATTAAAATAATAAATATGAATATATAAATACATATATAATAAATATATAAAGAAAAGTATATTTATAAAATATAAATATTTACGGTTACTTCTACATCATCTATCATTGCAAATAGAAAAACCGTATTGTATTTCAAGATATCTTGATCAATATTTTCATATATAAACATAACTAGACTACTTATAAATAAAGGACTATAATATCAATTCACTCTATAAAAATGATTGAAAATTTTGACTTTTCAATGAAATCAACTCAAGCCAGCTTAGCGAGTTTTAGTATATACAAGAAACCATATTATAGTACAATGCCATTGTATTATTCCTTGTTCAGTTGATAAGCTGTCCAGTCTCTGCATAGAACTCTTGAGGGCAGATATATATAATCTGATTAATTTTCATGGTAAATGTAAGATAAATAAAAGTATCAGATATGCTTCTTAACTATCTGATAAACCCTATCAATAAAAATTATATATTTTGATTAGTCTTCATAGTAAAAGTATCAGATATTCTCCTTAAATATCTATGGGTCCTTATCGAAAGCTGTATAGATACTGCAACTACTCTGACTCTACTAATACTATGTATTTGCTCCTTTAAAGGCTATATAAATTATTAAGAGATTCACGACTCTCTATCTATGCTTTTCACGCCTTTATCTTCTATTAGAAAATTAGAAAATTTACATGAACCTTCATTGGGTTCTTCGGACCATTTTTGAGGCATCGCTCTTCGGAACGGAAATGAGTCCAGCAAAAACATTGCAACTCATACAAGAACTTTTCAAAATAAACTAAACAACTCTAAATGGACTCAATACTTAATTTGCTGCCTGCTCTAATGGGATTTGTGTAATGTTAAATTTGTGATAATGCCCTCTATAAAGGTAAATGTCAACGAAATTTACCACAAATTCGAAGTTAATTGATGGAATATGCAGCAGCAGTCAAATACATATCTGAACAGGTAAATGTGTAAATTACGTATCATATTGTATGACAAATAGTAGCTGAAATTTCAAAAATTGACAAAAATTATGCAAACTTTCATAGATAAATAAGCAAATTTTTGGGCATATTTTGTGTTCGCATCTGAAGTTATTTCTACCATGGACCGCAAATTTGTGGAAAATAATAATTTAATTAGCTGCACATAAGCACGCATGCATATATGTATGTGTATGTGTCGATGTGTGTGCGCGCA